TTTGCGAGCGCAAATTACTGCACGCAAAATTGGATCTTGATAAATCCGGCCCTAAGAGTACTACCAGCACTATTGGCTGGTAAACAAGGCCATCAATTACTTAATTACTAACTTACTTACTTACTTTCTTTCTTTATAAAAAAAAAACTATGAAAACATATTGATGTGTAGTTTTCCTGCAGTTTTCCTATTTTCATAATAAAATAATAAAACATACCAGATTGGCGTCACTGTATCTAAATAAAGTCTTGATTCCCAGGATTGATTGTGCTCCAAAGTTTCCAAGTTCAATCTGCTGAATCTATTGACAAGTAATGAATTACTTTAGTTTAATTTACTGTCCTACTTTCAAGCTTAGATTTGGCAGTTATATACATTAAGGCGACTCACCACATAATGCTCACTATCCTTCAGTGGAAGCACATTCACACAATTTCCAGCATATTTAAGGTTTGGCAGAAGCTTGTGAACTCCAGATCCAGTGGGAATTTCTTTCCTGAGCATGAACAGGTTGCCTCTGACCGCTGTTCCACCAGATATCAAAATGCAGTCATTCTGAATCCCCGGTCTGTACGAACCCCTAAAGCAAACTGAAAATCTGTTTGCATTGAAGTTCACCTATTCAGCAGACAGAAAAAAAAGATTAAGTTGTAAGACTACAAAATTTATTTCAACCATTCAATTTAATTATTAAAACCTTTTATACATAAAACTTCAGCAATTAATGTATCAATCAAAGTAAAAGGATATATTGATTATTTTTTTTCATTATTGTTTTTTTTTAAATAAATGTATTAGTTATCATTTGAAACGATGGTAATAGTCAAAAATGTGTTTTATCACACTCTCCTATAACTTGTCTTGATCGCTAACCTAAAAACTATTGAAATAAATCATGGTTTATTGTTTCCAACAAGTAGCAACTCTTTTTTTTTTCATAGAAAAGCTGCGCTTACAATAAATAAATAAATAAATAAATGAATAAATAAATAAATAGATAAATAAATTTTATACATATAACCTTTTTTAACAGGCCATGTGACATTTGCGGTTCTAAAAGAGCTTAATTTACTTGAGTGAAGGCAAAATATGAAGCCAAGGTGGAAGTTCAACTGAATAAACTAACTGACTTGGCCTGATCATCATAGGCTCTCTGCCTCTGACCCAAACCAATCACCTTTGAACCGCACCTCCACAAAGCCTAATCAGCATCCAGAGTTCATCTTAAAAAGTATTCAAATCCACTGCTACCCAGCACAGTTAACACAGTGCTAGCACTGTCTTATTTAGAATTAGATGACCCCAGATGCAATCCACCTCGAGCCCCTTCTCCACCATCATAGCTAAGCTTCATCTTTCTTTTCCATGGTGCTTCTTCAACCTCATCCCTATCTGAGCCTAATTCCTCCCGAACTCTTACTGCATTTCCCGCCACATTTCAATCACCATTTTTGAGCCTGGTTTTGCCAGAGGTTTCTTCTAAAAAGGGAGTTTTTCCTCTCCACTGTTGCTTCATGCTTGCTCATCATGGACAGCTTCATGCAAGCCTGTGTTTTTCCGAGCTGGGCATCTATCTTCCGGGTCTAGAGGGAGGCACTAGTATCAGCTCACAAAGTCTGCTGGATCTCACCAATTGAGCTCAAGCAGATTGTCTCGCCAACCAGCAGTCTATGGACTGAACCAACTTCATATATCTACACCACCAGTTTCAGACCTGGGAGGAAACATCCCTGTTCTCATACACCTGCTTATGCATATTAAAGTAAAATTCAGCACTAATGTTTCCTGCCCGAGTTCCAAAGTCATAAAGTAATTGTATCAATAAAATTCTTGTAATTGTCTTTTTCTTTGCCCTGCGATGGACTGGCGACCTGTCCAGGGTGTACCCCGCCTCTCGCCCATTGACTGCTGGAGATAGGCACCAGCACCCTTCGTGACCCCAGAAGCGTGCTAGATAAGCGTGCTAGAAAATGGATGGATGGATGCATGAATTGTCTTTTTCTTTCCATACGAGTGTTTCAGATTGAACTTGCTTTTGGATTGTAAAGTTTGCAGATGTCTGGTCTACCTCTCAGTCATCATATGAAAAACTGATCATTACTCACAAATGCTGTCTCATATTTTTGGCCGTAGTAGGTAATCGGACAGGAAGAGATATCCATTTCTGCAGAACTGATAAAATCCTGGCCTGTCCATGCTGCAACTGATAAAACAGAGAAAGAAACAATTTACACAACATCCATGTTCCCTTTAGGTGATGCAGAAAGAATATTAAGTAATTATTTTGTTTATTTGGGTTATCTATGAATGGCAAATTCATAACACAACGTCTCAAGGCACAAAGTCGTTTTGATAGAAAAAAAGACAGCATATGAGTCAATTATGCACATTTTCAATGTATTCTTATTGTTAAGATTTGCAGTTGATATAAACCTAGTTTCTAATTACTTTGTAGAAGGTTAGATAGTATCTATCTATCTTTCTATCTAAGGAAACCCAACATATCGCATCATAACATTGACTTGCAGCATTAACTCTTCCTGGATGAGAATGTAGTAACACACGACAGCTTCTACCATTATTTCATTTATTTTGATGCAGTCACTCAATGTGAAGAAGGCCTTTAAAAAAAGTGGAGAGGAAAACTCTTTTAAGAGCAATAAATCTATGTAGTTACATACATTACACAGAAAACATAAAAAAGCAACAAAGAAGCATACAGTAAATCCACAAGAGTTTTCTATGAGGGAGAAAAATAAGTTGATTACAGATCGAGCTCATTTTGAGCTTGTTATTAAGTATTGCCGCAAAGTCACATTGCAAGTGACTGTCCATGCTCATGTTCATCCAGGAGGACTAAATTCTGGTGTCAGTATAAACTGAGTTTCCTTAGACAGAAAACTTGAAAACAATGAATCTGTTTACAGGATTTGATTAAACTGTTAGATGCAATGAGCTGTTGTGTGCTGTTAATTGGATCTATTTTAATCAACATTTTTTATTTTATTTTAATGGCTTTAACTAGGAGCTAAAGAGCTCTGAACCCCTATTAAAGACATAAAAGATTAAAGGGAGAATGGCAAGTTATGAATAAAACAAACAAACACTGACAACGAAGTAAATGTTGACATGCTGTAAGAAAAAAAAAAAAGCTAATTTGGAAAATAGTAGGAGACTGTAGCCCAGTATAGGGCAAAAGACTAAAGCAGTATAACTACAGAGATAGCTCAGGATAATCAGAGCCACTCTAACTAAAAACTTTATCAAAATGGACATTTCAAAGCCTTAAAAGTACACAGGATGTCTGCATCACATACTAAAACTGGTAGTTGGTTCAACAGGAGAGGAAAACTGAAAATAAAATTGTTTTCCTCCAATTCTACTTTTAGATATTCTGGAAGCACTAATAAATCTGCAGATAAAAAGCAAAGAGCTCTGTTATGAGCAGGAGAAACTTTACATTATATAAAAAATTAGTACGATTATTAAGGGCTTTATATGTGGGAAGGATACTTTTTTATTCTGTTTTGGATTTAACAGGAAGCCAATGAAGACACACTAAATAGTTTGTTGTCCAGCCTTTAAGTATGGAGTTGGATTTTAGCATCATTCCTGGATAATTCTAATTAAGCATTATTCCAGACGTAAAAGAATAAAATTGTCGAAACCTTTTTGATATGGTGTTTAAATGACAATGAATCAAAAATAAAAACAAGCTTTTTAATTTGTTGTTATTCATATTAAGTTACTTCATCAACAGGTTCTTCTTCAAAGCCTGTCACTAAACATAATAGAAATGTAGGATTATTATATTGTTCTTTCTTAAAAAAGGAAAAGCATTCAGATCAAGTGAATAGTCTTTTTATACAACAGTAAGATTTTTTTTCCTTTCTTTTTAAGAAGAAGCAGAGCTATTTTAATACATTACCACTTATTTTGTTTGTTTTTTTGTCTTTTAAAAATGTAGGTTCAGTTGTAAGGTGTGGAACGGAACCAAAAGTGGAAACAGGCAGACCAGTGCATAAGATGTAATGTTTTGTTTCCCAGCAGTTTCCCACGGTATGGCAAGAAAAGCATATTCACCCATGACGAGTAAATAAAACAAAAACCTACCTAAATGGAAACAGTATTATTAATTAGGTTGCTGAAGCATGACTAGAACTTAACAAACATACGTGCAAGTAAAATATGGTCAAAGCAAACTAGAATCTAAAAAAACAAGTAGTCAAATAAAAACCAAAAGCAAATATCTCAAAATCACGACATCAGTAATGCCAACTAATGATATCTGTTCAATGTGAGCAAATACCAGGTTACACATTTTACAACAATCCTGTTTATGTAAAAAAAATCTAACAATAAGTGTACAACAAAACATTAGCTTTTTGAAATATGTTTTTTTTTTATATTTGCATTAGGAAGAGATACAGACACACTCAGGGGAACATTTTGCATTATAAAACCGTCTCACCTGGCAGGATGCTGAATCCTATCAAGCATAGTCTGAAGACGAACATGTCTACGGATCTTAAACTCAGACACAGTCACCACACCTGTAAATTAACATAAAAAATGTACCTTAGATACCTTCAACCTTCTCAGATTTATTCGGATTTCAAGTGAAAGGCCAAAACAATTGTGATTGCGAATTATCATTATAATATTTTGTGCAGCCTTTATTTGTATTCAGTCACCTGTGTATAGATGTAAGATAATTTTTTTGCAACTGCTCCAAGCCTTTCCGGTTATTTCGCCACCATCACTTCATTTTTTAAAACTGAAACTATTGCCCTCGTTTCTTAGCTTGTATTTGTATGTATGCAGAGCATCTTTAAACAGCAAGTTTAAATGAATCCCATACATTCTGGTAAATTTCATTTGCTATTCTATCACATGATTATGCTTTTGACCAGGATTAAATGCAGCTCTATCGTTTAACCCAGAACACCCCTCTGCATGGAAAAAGTTTAATTCTTGCGATCTAGCCATAAAATCTTTGTTTAAATGTCTGTTAATGTTTAGTGTTGCAAACTGATGTCATGTATTTTTTTTCTTCCACCATTACATAAAACTCCAAACAAAATATACTATGGTTTGTGATAGTAATGTAAATACTATCACTTGTGAAAAAATGTTTCCAGGGTAAGAATATAAAGCAAAGAACGGATATTTTGCAATTTTATGATTATTGGATTTTGCAGGGACACAGCTACAAGTTGCAGATAAAGGTAAAAAGTTACTAATAATAAATAATTGCACAAGATTTGTTTTTCTTTCTGCTTTTTGTAACAAGTTTTGCCTGTTTGTTTTTCATTTTGAGCATTAATAATCTATGTCTAAGATGAAGTGAATACAAGTAACACTTATACAGAGGAAAACATAACTTAGAAGATGATCAAGGCATCTTTCTATAAAAACATAAAAATGTACATTTTATTTTGAATTGTAATTGCTCAGGAAGGATGCAATACAAACAGCCCAGATTCAGCTTATTGCCTTTATTGAATAGTTCAATAAAACTGGGTTAAAGCTATATTTTGGTTAATCAGAAAAATAAAGAGTAAATTAAATAAGTACAGCTAAATGTATTGGCAGAATTTGAACATTTTTGTCAATTTCTCACCTTGTGGTGACAGAGTAGAAGAGCGCCTTAGTGTCTGATGGGAAACCTGTCCGGATTCTCAGTGAGTTATCTGCATGTCTTTCCTTACAGTGTGAAGAAGACACAACACTGAACCTGCTTGTATATACATGCACAAACTTGTTTACGTGTGACAGGGCGAAGGCTTCTTTTCCTTTCATCACATGGCATTTTGTCTTCTCAAACTGGCTTTTGGAAAGGAACATTCCGCTTTCCAAACACTGCAATTAGCAGACACCTTTAAAAGAGGGGGGGGATTATGCGTGACAATGTTCGTTGACAATTTAACAATGACTCATTGTGTGCAAAGGTATGATGATTGTCTACTTTTAGCTGGATTAGCAGAAAGTTATGCGTGGTTTGAAAATAGTTTTTGAACTTGCATTTTGTGATGAGGTGTAGCAAGCAGTAAGGAATGTGTTTTTGGATTGTTAGGGATTCAGAAAATGTTCTAACTGTGAGAATATTAAATTGTCATAAAGTCTATAAAGGTACAGAGCACCCCATTCTAATTGTTTAGCAATAGCAATTATGTCACATTGTGGTCCAAAGAAAATAGCACTACAAGTATCTTCAAAGCTTTAGGCAAAGCTTGAGAGATGAGTAATCTGGAATGGCGCCAAACAGACAGTTTTTCACCTGGTGTAAAGAAGGATAAATAGCTCAGGCTTAGTTAAATATTTCATGCAGAGCATCAAGAAAGCTTAAGTGATAACAAAGCAAAACAAATATGAAATGTGTTAGTCAAACATGAAACAGGGTCACGTACAGTGATGCAGTTACCAGCTTCTATGAGTGTTTTTTGTGTGTGCAAAGCTACTTTGTGGCCCATTTCACTTTAACGTGCATTGAAAGTAATAAGATCTCTTTGTTTGACTAAAGTTAATAAATGTGATCATATTAATAGACACCTTATTGTAACTTTTGTTTGAACTCAAATGAACAGGATATCATCTTAGATCACTTAAAGGTTTTATTTTGCACTGATTTACTGATTATGCTTTCAGAAGTTCTATACACATAAACGTCATTATTTAGGACTTATTATTTTTTCCAGGTTGCAGTACATATACAATTATAGGGACAATTATAAACAGCAATTGGATGCTCCTGCTTAAGTCCACAAAAGATTTAAACTGGTGCATCAGAAACAAGTTATTCAGACAGTGGTCTGATAACATATGTAAATCCCTAATGATGTCTTTTGAATTTTGCTTTGGACAGTAATGAGCTTAGGAAAAACTGAATACAATTTGAATACTGTCTATTTAGATAAAAGATCTCTTCTCGTTAAACCATTGGCTATCTGTGATCAACCACATTTTTCGCTTCAATTTCACCAGCCAGACAACAGACTTTAGGCTTAAAAACAAAAATTTTAATGAAAAACTCTGAACAACAGCTGAACCAGAGCAGTCCTCACATCCATTCAAGGGACATTTTCTTAATTCAATAACATCAGAAGTACTGGTCAGAAATGTAACCATGGGAAGTTTAAGGCCAAAACTGCTACTACCATGTTAGTAATAAAAAAAAGGCTGTCTGACATCTTGCATAAAATATCTGAAAGGGTCTTTAAGAACTTTGGGTGAATATTCTCGAAACGTGACAGAAAGCAGTTTTTGTTTTTGTGGTATTTGTGGTCTGGAACTGCTTTGTTGCTTCAGGAACTTGACATCATGCTGTAATTTTTCAAACCATGTTAGTATTATTACTACATTTCTTTAACAGGTTTGGTTGGTTCTTCTGGGTCATTGCCCTGTTTGAAAATACCCACTGAACATAAGTACACTGGGAAAAGTGTACTTATGGAAGATTCTACCTTATGTTGGAAAATAGTAAAACATTGTAAAGTATTTTTCATCCAAAGGTGCCATGGGCTTGCCTTCTAATCACCTTAACAACAATACTATTTCATACATGTGTGGAAATAAAAAGGTCAGTACAGATAACAATCACTGTGTGCTCATTGAAACAAAAATGATTATGATGGTAAAAATATCATTCTCTCATAGCATTCTATTCATAAAACATGTTACACCATATTTAAATCCCTGCACCAAGTCTTTTAAAGGAAATATTTGTAATATTGAAACATTTTTTATTTATTTGCTATTAGTTGAAGTTGCAACATCAGTTAATTATCATGCATTTAGTTCAGAAAAGCAGTTGAAAAATAAGTAAAAAGATCAAAATGAAAATTAGAGTGACGCGTCAAATAAACAGAATACATCCAGATTTCATCACAGACACCTTGCTTTCTACACTAAGTTGAACTCAGAGGAGCCAGGCTTCAGTATCTGCAGGGTAAAAATTAGTTTGATAGATTTCCTAAACCAGGGATAAAATATTATATAAATTATTGGATTTAGACAGGAGTTTAGATAAAACAGAAAAAAGGCAAATGATAAAACATTTAGTTCAGTGCCCTCACTTGTTAGTGAGAGAAAAAAATATGGACAGATGCATATTAAAAATGTACATGCAACAACCCCAAGAGTCCTTGCTGATTTCAGCTCAGATTTCTTAAGGTTAACTTTTACTGTACTCTGGAGAGAAATGGCTATAACATGAGAGCGCATGGCACGAGCCTGAGACACAGCCACCACAAATACTCTCACATACAGAATAATGATGACAGTGACAGGACCAATGCAAAAAAACAAAATATCTATTAAGCCAGCAACTTGATCAAACACAGCTACACACTCTCCAGAGCAGGAATTGAATCTGCCTGGTTGTTCCAGATTCCCTTTGAAGACTATAAAGACACAGACGGTAGAAAACATCCAACATAATGAAACGCAAACACACACTCTTTTTTGAGTGATTGTTGTGGGGTACTGAAAAGGGTTGCAAACAGCGACATAACAGTCAACCGATATAAGCACCATGTTCTCTACTGAGGCAGATGTAATAATATAATCAATGATGTAATAAATAATACACATAAGGTCACCAAGATACCAGCAGCCATCAATAAGGAGAATCTGAAAGATGATTAGGAAGCCTACAAAGAAATCTGAAACCGCCAAGGAGAGGAGGAGGATGTTGGTGGGTGTGTGAAGCTGCCTGGAAAAAAACAACAATATATGTGCATTAAAAAGTTATTCTGTGACAAAAAGTTGTCTAAAAAAAATCCATCCGTCTCAACTGACTTACTTACTTAAAATGGGCGATGGAGATGATGACCAGTAAGTTAAGAGTCACTGTGAGCCAAGACAAAGAAGACAGTGAAAAGTATATGAGCATGGATGTCGAATGAGGACGTAGGATCCTCCTGCAGGAGAAGTTGATGAGCTGAGGAAAGCAGAGTTCAACCTCCTCAAGGCTTTGCATGATCAGATAGGATGAGACCACAAGCCAAAGAGTTCTGATACCAATTTGCCTGAAACTCTTTCTTTATCCTCTTCATTTTCTCCCCTTGAAATTATGCAAAGGAGGAACCCAAGTAACCAACACATGGGATCTGACACAGAGTTCCCTACCAACAGATGGCTAACTGGGAATTAACTTAGTTTTGAAGGTGATAATTAAGAAATGAGCAAAACATGTGCAGCAAATCTAAGAGTCTTTGTTATAAACTCTTTTCTTTAATATGTAGGAGCGATTACTCCACTAAATGAAACCGCACAGATATGCTGCATTTTAAACAGAATAGCATATTTATTTCTTGTAAACTTTCTGGTAAACTTGGAGATATATTTTATTTCATGTTGCATATCCCAGTAAATCTATTTCACCTTTAAATTTGCAGCTCTGGCGTCTTCTCTCGGTGCTCTGTTTAAAAAGATTTATAAACCTCTTTACTAATATAATGATATCAGAAACAAAATTTCAAGCTATATAGAAGCTCTGCAGTCTGACTCTGTCTGTACAACAAAATAAACATGTTAATTTTAACCTGTAACTGGAAGATTTGTTTAACTAGTAAAGAAGAACAAACTATGTTTTCTCAAGCTTCTTGCAGTATAGTACCAACTTGTTTAAACTTACAATCTATGGCCATTTTTAGCTGAAAAAGCTTCATAAGTCTAACAAACAGATTTTTTGGGGGCATCTCTAATTATTTAAACCAACCCATCTCCTAACTTTTACTTAAACATTGAAGTAGCTGCTGGTTAATATACACTGAGTACTGCTGTGTCTGTCGCCTCAAACCACATACCGTATTTTCATGACTATAAGGCGCATATAAACGTCTTTTTTTTCCCCTCAAAATGTGCGGCGTGCCCTTTGGTGCGGTGCGCCCTATGTGTGTTGTTACTGCGGACTTTTGAGACCACCATGCACCATGCAGAACTCCTCATCTCCTCATTAAGGAGATGATGAAAGAGAGGCTGAGGGAGGTGAATGTAATGAGACCAAGTGGTTTTTTTCCACGCATCACCATTGCTGTTAATCTGTGACTCCTAGCGTGCCCATCTCACAGCTGATCTGTTATTCAACCGCTCGACATCGGTGTAAACCGGACGCAGCAGGTGCAGCAGAAGCAGCGAGTTTACATGCAAAGTCACTGGTTGACACGCATATAGGGGCAGCAGCAAAAGGTCCCGCAGCGTGTTTTGAGCGTGGGGAGCGTTTAAGCATCTGACGCGCTTGACGCGCCGCCAACGCGCTGCTGCTGCTCGAGATGGAAAAATTGAAGTTTTGCTGCTGGACAGCAAATATAGCTGCAAGGCAAAGAAAGGATAGGATAGCTCCGCCCAACGCGCGTCAGACACACTTTTGCACCGTGCAGGCAGAGCAGCAAAGCTGCTTCAGCCACGCGTCAAACTGCAGGCAGCAGGATAATAAAAGCGAACATATTTTGCCGGCAGAATAATTCCACGAAAAGTGGAAGGCAGCGCCGGACAAGTTACGCCACCGTTTGCGCATGGGTTGTAGATGCTTGGACTAACGTGTCTGCTGGCACTGTTGTTCGAGCTTTCGCAAAAGCTGGCATCATTTCCGAGGAGCCGTCCGGCACGGAAAGTGACTGACAGCGAAGAGGGGGAAATTGGCATGTCTGATTTAGCGCAGCTGTTTTATTCAGAAACAGAGGATGATGACTTTGATGGGTTCGATTAATACTTTGTAATAAATGCATGAATAAAGCACAATCATACTCAGTTTTGCTCCTGCTCTATTTTTCTACCTGAAAACTTAATTCAACAGCAGCCTCTGGGCCGGGTCGCCTCCGGGTTCACCACTGCGGCTGGTAGGTGTTTTTCATCTAAATAATCTAAAGGATTATAAAAGGATAATAGGATAATAAAAGCGAACATTTTCTGTCGGCAGGTTTCAGGATTTTAAGTTAATTTATGCGTCAATAAACTGTTTCAGAGGAGTGATCACAGCCCTGTGTCATCAGCGCTGTGTCTCTCATGGCCAGCTCCCAGGTTTGAATAATACTTTGTAGTAAATACACCTTGTAGCTATATTTGCTGTGATCAGTGGGAATAAAGTAGTTTTAATATATTTTTAAGTGAGAAAATCCACCTGAAAACTTAATTATTGCAGTCAGTTCACCCAGATTATCATCCTGCCTTCTAATATTATTTCTGTCGGAGCCCCACATATCAGCGGTGCACGACAATAGGAATGTCTCATGGCCAGCTCCTGGGTTTGATTAATACTTTGTAATAAATACATGAACAAAGCACAATCATACTCAGTTTTGCTCCCGCTCTATTTTTAAATACGCAGTAAAGGTATTTAAAGGTAGTAGAGGACATGTACCTGTAGCCTATGTAAAAAACGCGCCCTATAGTCCGGTGCGCCTTATATGTGGGTTAAACACAGAAATGGCACACATAACTGAGACTGCGCCTTTTAGTACAGTGCGCCTTATGGTCGTGAAAATACGGTAGCTACTCTCTAAGCAGTGAAATGCGACCGAAAATCAGATGTCTCAAAGCAACAGATCCAATGATGTTACACCAAGATTCGGGACACGGGAGCAGCAGCAGAGAGGAAAAAAAACATTGACTCAAAACGCTCTGAACACATATAGCTGTACCTGACCTCTGTTACCTCCGTTGGCTCCCTGCCCCCGTCCGCTGGGTTACCGGACCAGCCCCAGAGCTGATAGCTCAGTTCGAGTGCCCGGTGTGTTTCGACTATGTGTTGCACTGTAGTCGACCATAATAACAGAAGCTTTTGAAATTCTCCCCGGACATTTATTAGGTATGAAAAGTAGGACATGTCGCCTGATCACCCTGGACAGATGATCACTGCTTTATCACGTAAATTGTTCTCCACTATGCGGTGCCTGCGCTATATTTGTTATTAGTCGCCGCTGTCGGGTAGCAACAGCCTATGGCAACAGCGGGCCTCTGTGACAGCAAATGTTAAAACGGCACCTTAATTTATATGCATAACCTGAATGAATGTAGCTACATTGTTTGATGTGCAACTTATTAATATTCATTCACTTACAGTTCAGCTTTCTACACCATCATCCCACAGCATCCAATAGGCAAACTGAAACAGTTGATCCTCAATACCCCCCTATTGCAACTTTCTGCTAGACTTACTCACAAAATAGACCTGTCAGTCCGGGTTTATCAGAACACCTCTAATATCATCACCCTAAGCACAAGCTCCCCTCAGGGCTGCCTCCTGAGCTCACTGCTGTTCACTTTGATGACACACGACTGTGTCCCCAGGGTTCACCACCATTCACATCGTGAAGTTTGAAGACTATACCACGTTGGTGGGCCTCATCAGACAGGAGGTGGAGCAGCAGGTGGGCTGGTGCAAAGGCTCAGGAATAATCTTGCATTGATGGCTGGGGTCAAGGATTTTAAATAGAAGCAGAGACAGGTGGACCAGATGAGCAGTAATGAGAAACAGGGATGACGAGAAACAGAAATGAGCAATCAAGACAGCCATAATGACCAATATCATGGCACACACACATAAGCACAGGTATAAGGTCTTGCATATTTAGGGAAATATTCTAGTTAAACAGTATGTCTTTTGATTATTTTGATCATTTCATGTGTTTTCTGAAGAGTAAAGACAATGCTAACAGGATGGATCTTATGGTACGCTATGCAACGCTACTTAGACTTTAGACATAGACAGATTTTATTTGTCATTTTGTTTACACAAATGTAAAACAAAAATAAATTTTGTTTGGAATAGCTCTCTGGACAATTTCATCTTTTTTTAAAATGCAGCCTTTAAAAGTAGTTAAGAAAGCTTAAAAGAATAAAGATATAAAAACAGTAATATAAAAATATGACTGTACAGTTCATGTGTTCCTAATATGCTCATTACATTTCCATTACCAAATTATGACCAAAAGTAATTTAATTGAATCCTCATGTCTATTTGCTGCTAGCTATTTCACAGAGGGTAAGGAATCTTTTAACTGAAGGTTATTGGTTCCTGATTAAGCAAATAATTTAATAAAACATTATTTGGCCAAATAACTTTTTTATTCACCTCATGGATTTGCATTGTAAATTGGTTTAAATTAGAGAATAGCTAATTTTATCACATTCCAAATTCTCCAAGTTAAACTTTGGTTCTCGAACACAAGATCCATGCTAAACTGTTATATGGTTTTTCAACAGTAGGGGGTCAGTCAGCTGGTGTTTGTAAAGTAAACTCTAATCAGTGCTAGGCAATAACTTTAATATATGACAGACATAAGTATGTGCATGTGCCTGGCAGAAATTGTAGGGGAAAGCAAAATAACTTCTCCATTCTGTTCCTTACTTCTCCAATAAATCTGGTACTGCTGCTTGTCATTTATTATACCAATGTTGTGGCCAAGTACACCGTTGACATTAGTATTTCATGCAGCATAGTGTTTATCCCTTAAATCACCATTAAATTTACTACATTTAAATTAATTATCCATGGACTCTGTGTTTTTTCAGCAGATTATTTCAGTGTCTATTCAAAAAACAAAAAAAAAACATTAAAAATAACCTAACTTTGAATGCCTGGCAGTTGAAAGTTATCTATACCAGTATGTATTCAGCCTGAACACCCTATGGATGTTTCAGCTCATTATTTTGTTCATATAAGCTCAAAATCACTGCAACTAATATAATTTCATTCAAGGAACCTGTAGATATTTAGAAAACATTTAACCCTGTTTTACACATTGTAGCATTCAATTCATGGATTAAATAAAGAAATTTTAAAACCATTTCTACATCATAGCATATTAAGCTTTAGTTTCGTCTAAACTTATAACTGCATTTTAGTTTACTTTTATCCCCTCCCCATTGAAAACGATTAAAGTTCTTTAATCTCTAAGAAAAACCCAGCTTGGCGCAGATTCCCCCTATTTAAAACTCCCCTATCAGACCTTGTATCCTTTAATGTTGGTGCATGAA